TGCTGCAGGACAGAGATTAATATAACAACTATGTGCAGGTGATGGCGGATGCGTACATGCAGCACATGCTGCTGCAGGACAGAGATTAATAGCAACTGTATTACCTCTGACATGTGCAGGTGATGGCAGATGCGTACATGCAGCACATGCTGCTGCAGGACAGAGATTAATATAACAACTGTGTTACAGGTGATCGCGGATGCGTACATGCACCACATGCTGCTGCTGGACAGCGGCGACGTGGCGTACGTGTCGTTCGACTTCCACGAGTATTGCCGCGGCATGCGCCTCGAGAACGTCTCCGTGCTCGTCGCGTCGATCGAAGACGAGGTGCGCACGATGCGCTACTGCTGGCGCGACGACGCCGGCATGATCTGCGAGCAGCAGGGTGTGTTCCGCGTAAACTGCATCGACTGCCTCGACCGCACCAATGTCGTGCAGACGGCGCTCGCCCGGGCTGTCATGGAGATACAGGTGTGAGCTTGACGAGGGCAGAGCGCGGTCGAGTTTTTTTTAATCTGTGTGTTGTTGCTATTTACGTAGCATTTAAATACGTAGAATGTGTATTATTGACGTATTCATGTAGCGTGTGATTGATTGGCTCTGACTGATTGACACTGCTAGTCACTCGGTGTTTTTCTGGGACGTTGTGGGAGGTTGTAGTCGAAATTTGTGCATGTACAAGTACATTTACAAACTCGGTGCACTTGACCACCTTAGCATGAATATCCAATGGGAGCATGGTTATCTTGCGCAGATGGTTAGGGCAATTAAACCTAGTGTGTTTAACCATGAAGAGGTTTGTAATAATAGTCAATAAATACAGTGTGTGATGCTAGGAATAGTGGCCTCAACTAAGTAGTCTTTAGTTACGTAGAGGTATAGGTAGAGCAATGCCTCTCCACGAGACGGTAGGGCATTCTAGGCATCCAGGTTCAACTATATATGCTTAATTAATGTATTTTCGTGCAAATACTTCAGTTTCGAAAGTTTGGACTGTTGCCACCTGACGAAGTGCTGCCGCCTAGCTGTAGGTTCCTGTACCAACAGCTTTGGGCAGACAATGGGGACGTGCTTAGCCATCAATATGCTGGAACTGCTGCACTAAAAGGCGACTACACTAGGACAGGTGAACGACGCTTCGCTGGTCTCATGAAGGATGGTTACAACTCGGCTAATAGGTAAGGTAATGTATTTAATTAGAAGGTGTACACATACAGGCTGTTACTTAACTTTTCATGGTTAGTAGAATGGTTTAAGAATTGCACTTTATCGTGCCTGTTTTAAATAAGTGAGAAATACATGCTCAGCACAGAACAATGTATTGTGGGTTACCTCTAGCTGTGCATGCAACAAAACGAGAGAGCAGCTGTTTGTGGCCAGGTGGTATATAACGCCATCTATCTGCACACACAGGTACTACCTAAATCGATTCAAGGACGCCTACAGACAGGTGACGATAGATCTGATGCTTGGCATTGCTGTGAGTGAAGACATGCAGGCGCTGAGCAGCAAGACTCGCGCTGAGCCAGAAGAGGTGCAGTGGATGCTGCACAAGAACGAGCACATGATGCAGATCATCAGTGAGTCATCATGCACAATCGTTGATGACTGGCGGCATAAACGCAACGCTAAACGCTCTTATTTACGTTTGCTATTTACTGCCATCGTTTCGTGTGTGGATCCGCTTAACTATATGTATATATATATAATATCAAGAGCTAATAAATAACCAGAGAGACCGTGTACAAGATGGCGTTGCGCAAAAGATGCGTTGTTACCCGACCGCCGAGAGCAGTTAAGCCGCGCACTTCCGCGGGACTGGGCGCACGCGACCGCGGGGTGTTGTACACATGTAGCATCTCGCGCTGCCCGCTATACGAATTCGCGCGCCATAGGAGGGCGGGCGCACGAATTTGTATAGCGGGAAGCGTAACATCGCGCAGTTTTCGTCAGACGTACACCGGCTTGACTACAGCGGCCTTGGGGGAGGGCATTTCCTGCTCCAGAGCCGTGCTGAAGCAGCTAGCAGGGACCAGTATTTGGTGCTGCTGCTGGTTTGCCACGCCGGCCACGCCAGCGCAGGTGCTCGCACGACGTGCCGTCGCCACGGGCAGCGCGGGGTCAGGAGGTTGGTCGAAACATGCCACGTACGCAGCCAGGGGCGCCGCCGCGGCGGCGGTTTTGCAGATAGCATTTAGACCGCGCCAGCCCACGTGGAGCGCCGTACGCGGCAACGTTAAAAGCTCTGTGATAGACGTGACGCTATATTTGGCAGTAGCCCACGTCATCGCGTAGCGGCGAATGAGCGAGCGCGTGGTCGCTGAGTGACAGCATTTCTTGGGGTTTCTTGTAGGAGCCACTACGTCTTAGCCATGAGGCGCGCCACCCCCAAAAAAGTTTAGGGGCCGTTTGGAGATGGCCTCTAGACGTCCATCGCGAAATGTCTGTTTGATTGCGCCCAGTTTTCGCGGAGTTCATTTTCAGACCCCTGTCTAAGGTATCTGTCTAAATGGACAAAAAAGGGGCGGCGTATTCGTTGTGGGGGCGCGGCTTCGCCGCGAGCTGTGCGCTGCGCGCAATAACGGGGGCCGCATGTCCGTCCAGAGCGTACAACGGGAAAACCGGATAATAGGGCTATTTCACGGCAATATTATTCTACTTTGTCTGCGGTTCTAGACTAGGCTAGACTAGACTCATTGTATTGCGTTAAGCAGCATTCTTTGCTCTCTAAAATAAGACCAACCACTTGTCTCTACGATACTCCTAGGCCGAGATATTGGCTCGTAAACCTCCCCTCCCACAGGCCTCACGCCGCCTCGCATCCACATTATTCCCGAGCCTTCTCGCCTTTTGTGGGTTCTGGCTATCGTTTTCCGTCGCCGATTGGAGCGCTGATAATTGATGTCACATGCCCAAAATTTGGTACGCTTACCACACCATATAGTAACTGAGCTGCGTTGTAGACTTAATTTAGAAAACATTGCCGGCTCCATCATTAAGGGCATTAGCCGTGCTAGGAAAGATAATGGGAGATAAGGGCCTAGGTGATGCCCCCGAAAGTCAGCGATGATAACCGAAACGCCGTTCATTCATAAAGTCATCGCGGAAAAAACAGAACTCTCACGAACACGAAGCGACTTTCCTAACCCGCAAAAGGCGAGAAGGTTTGGGAATAATGTGGATGCGAGATGGCGTGAGGCCTGTGGGAGGGGAGGTTTACGAGCCAATATCTCAGCCTAGGAGTATCGTAGTGACAAGCAAATTTAGACTCGCAGGCAAAGTAGAATAATATTGCCTTGAAATAGCACTACTTTCCCGTTTTCCCATTGTACACTCTGGGTATTTATTAGCTCTTGCTAATATATATATAATGGCATGCATGGGGATGCCTTCATTCTCGTGAAACTCTTGGCATAATGCAACGTGTTCTCAATCACACACTGGCTTCGTCAGACGAACTTACAAATGTGCTCGTTGTTATTGTGCATGCAGTCATTCTCACTCTGTAGGTGATGGCCGGAAACTGTTGGTACCAGAGAGTGAGGTGTGCCTTGGCGGCTGGGGCTTGATTGACTGTGATGATGATCCAGCAGAAGTTGATGGTCAGGACATGGACACCATCTTGCTGCTCACCAACGAGGCATTCTACGTTGCTGAGTATGTGCCCGTGATCACAGTACCTCTGCAAGCCCTCGGGCGACTCGGTGTTTTGCCATTATGATAATCGTCGTGTATGTTTCCACGACTTTCTTGATGACTTTCCTTTAGCGATTGTATCGGCACTTGTCGTAAACATAGTACATATAACACGGTAGTTTGCTGCTGTGTGTTAGGGTTCTGGGTTCACAATAACAGTGTTATTTAATGATAACAAATGTGGTGATGGTAGGCATATCTAGAGGTGGTACACGTGAATGATGGAAATAAATATATATTTAATTTAATATTTATTTAAAATGCTATTTTGTATTACATTTCAGTTACATAGAGGAGATGGACAAAATTTCTCAGTTCCACAGAGTAGCACTTGAAGATATGTTGGAAATGGAAATTGGACCTGAGAGTTCTCTCTTTAAGAGTAAAAAAACATGGTAAGGTTATGGTTATGATGTTAGGGGTCATGCCTATTTCAAAGGAAGTTTTTTTTACTGTTGGTTTAAATTTCATAATATTCTTTGCGTATAATTAAAAAAGAGATTTGTTTATTCTTTCTCTGCTGGTACTATGAAGTATATAAATCTTAAAGCTGTCCTCATAATTTTATAATGTGCTATATTTTATCAGTTACATATAAAAAATATTGCTATTATAATTGCAGGTGTTTGCGCATTAACTATGCTCACAATGGGGAGAGTGGCTATTTCTATACATTTCGTTCCTCTACTACAAGATTCTTCAATAACATGGCTATCAGTATTCGTAGCCCCGAGGAGGCAGCAGGTGCGAGCATCTACCTTCTAGTCAGATGATCAGTTTGACATTTCATAGTAACAGGAGGACCCCATTTTTGTCATGTGCACCTCAGCTCCTGTAGGAGGACAAGTAGATATGCGCATGAATTTCTATTTGTAGAAGCACTGGAAGCAATCTGTGAGACATTCACAGGAGCTGCAGCTCTTAAATCAATGGAGGTGAAATACCATAAAACAAAACTGAGTCGGAAACCTTCGAAGACACCAACGGGAGCTGTGTACATTCTCAACCGTGCCAACTCCAGTATAGATGCAAATTCGTCTCTTCCTGCCTCAATTATCAGGTAAAACCAGGTGAAGCTTTCTATAGGTTAAGACACCCTGCATTTGTGTGGCAACAAGGATTTCATATCTGATACGTTTTTGAACTTATTTCGTAAGAGAGGGGTTTTATGTATGGTTATTTAGCACCTAGCGTAAATAATCTTACATGCATTGCTTCTGTCATATCAGGACGAGTATATAATAACACGTCTATATCTATACTATAATTTGGCTAATCTTGTGTGTATGTGTGTGTGTTTGTTTGACCTCGATGTTCTCCGTCATTTGTCACTCAATCGCGGTAACTGAAGATATATTCAGAATCACCACGTCTGGGAGATGGTTTCTTCTGAGACAAAAATTTAAAAAAGTTAAAAAGTAAAAAAAAAATTGTAAAAGTTAAAATTCTATCATCACGTACGTGGGAATTATTTCGCGTGTCTTGCCCGCTGCCGTAGCGTAGTCGGTAGACGCACGGTTTCATAACCCGAGATTCCGGGTTCGAATCTCAGCTGGGGAAAAAAATGTTCTCCTTTACTTTTTTACTCTTTAGTATCTACTTCTGCCTCTTCAGCGTTAATTTAAAAATGTAAAAAATAAATTTTACTACATTTATTTAAAAATAAATTTTAAGTTAAAAATTGAAAAAAAATTCTATTTTTTTTACTATTATTATTTACTACTATTATTGTTTATTATTATTTTAATGTTCTTTATATTATTAGCTCATCTGACGAAGTCAGATGCAGCTTGTAGAATCGCACGATCGTCTGTCCGTGCGTGCGTGCGTCCGGCCGTCCGTCCATCCGTCCGTCCGTGCGTCAACAGTTGGGCACAAATCTTAACCGCTCGACGTACGGTCACGATATTCGGGACGTCGGGGGTGATCGTCAAAACGAGTTGGGATGTCGAAGCTGGGGGTCAAAGGTCAAGAGGTGTAAAAGAAGGGGGAACAATTCGCCTCCTTAAAGCTTAAGGTATAGGGAGGAAATGCAGAATTGCGGCACAAATCTAAACGGCTCAACCTAGGCTCGTGTAGTCGGTGTATAGCATCATGGTAGGAAAAGCCATCACTGTGCCGAAATGTGAGGTCACAGGTCAAAGGTCAATGGGGCAGCAGGGCAGATTTTAGACATTTTCTGAGGACATGCGTCTGACGGAGCGATAGAAAAACTTTTTGTTTCAGCGGTGCCCTAGCATTTTTATGGCTTTATTGAAAGGACCATGAAATCTACTTTCTGCTGACATGCGAAGCAGTAAGTGTCAGATAACTTTTGACCCTCAAGAGGAGGGTTAAACATGGATTTGTTTACTGTCTGTAGAAAGATTTGACTGCCGCGTTTGCTAGTAGAATCTATACATGCGCTGGATTATGAGGCTACAATGTCACAGTGAATTTCAAAAGCTAAATTTGGTTGAAGAAGGTTTATGCTCCTTAAATCGTATAATTTCTATGGCATTCTGTACTGTCAGTATGTTACATGTAACGTATGCCACTGCCAGTGGCCACTGCCAGTGCATGTGGTGGTGCTGTGTAGTTTTTTGCCTGCGTTAATTGGTTACAGGTGGCAGCTCTCGTATTGCAGCCTGTAGCGCTTGCGTAGGTAAAATGGAGTGAGTGGCTTACCTATTCTGTCTTGCAAATAGTTGTTGCTACTACGTACGATGGGAGCTTCCATTTTTAATCTGAAGACACTTAAACGTACGCGCCATCTCGTGGCAACTTTCATAACGATCCCAACGAACATTTCTTTTAGAAGGTTCCTGATACCATCCCTGTGCATTCCACTGTTTCGGCGTGTATGTGAACACATTTGGGACTAACAGGGTTTACTAGAATCCCACCACTTCACCACAGAGTCACCGCAGTAGACGTTAGATGAGCGCTGTCGCTCCGCGGCACTTGTTTATATTATTTTTTATTGTTTGGGATTGGATGGGATGGGGTCGACTGCGATGGGATCGGATCGGATCCCATGAGATGGCATATAGGATGGGATGGGATGGGATGGGATGGATGGTATGATAGGATGGGATGGGTGGCATGGGGTTGCATGGGATAGGATGAGGTGGGATGGGATGGCATGACATGGCATGGCATGGCATGACATGCGATGGATGGAGGGATGGCTGGCTGGATGGATGCATGCATGCATGCATGGATAGATACATAGATAGATAGATAGATAGATTTTGCGGTATTTTCCTTTCAGCCAAGTGGTCACCAACAGCACTTTTTCCCCTGCTCACTTATAGAATTGCGCTCTTTGTTTCTTCCCAAAATGTTTTTTTGTTTCTGTTTTCTTTTCAGTTGCATGAAATATTTAACTTCAACTGTGTCACTTACATGAAGTTTATATTTTAAGGCACGATTTGGTCGTTGTACGGGTATTAGTCTGCTAGTATATATAATTGCAGGAATCTCTCAGAAAACTCGCTCATGCGAAAGTACAGCGTGTCCAAAGATGCTGCATCCAACTACATTAGAACTGTCGGTAGAAAATTTATGGGCTACAACCCAATGAAAAAGCGACAGGCTTTGGGCACTCCACCTACTATAAGCTGGAACCGAGATAAAGGTATCAATTTCTACCAGTATAGAGATTCAATTGCTATTTCTGCTTAATAGATTAGATAGATTAGATAGTACAGTAGATTAGAAAAAAATCGTTCAAATAAATATTCGTAAAATTCGTATAAATAGATGTCTTTTGAAACCTAACACCTAAGCTTATTCATCTGTGTGCGTATGCCCATGTCTCTATAATTATGATTTTAATGGGATAGTCGTTTGGTTGCAGGCAATGCCAATTCAGTAAAGATTGCAGTGCCTGGTAGTGCGCGTGACTTTATCCAGCGCCCGGAGAGTCTAGTCTTACCTGCTCACGAGAGCATGCGTAATGCTTCTGGGGAAGAAGGGGAAGATGTCGCCACGCGTCACGATTATTCGCTGAGTGAAGCGCCACCTGTTGAACGCGAAGCCGGCTCCAATGATGACAGCGGCAGTCGCGCGGACTCTACGAGCGATCTCGACGCTAGAGGTCAGCATGACGTCGCGCTCGCTGCCTCTCTGCAGGAGCCGTTCGTCTTTCACGACAATCACTTCACCGCATTCCACACAAGTCGATCGGATGAGTGCTTCCTCTCTCACGGCGCGTCGGACAAGCACACCGCCAACTGGTACATCGGCAGCAAGGAGACGGTCAGCGACGATGGCAGCGGCGTGGACGAGTTGACGCAGGACGCGCAGGACGCCGCCGCCGCGACGATCGCACTATCTCCCGTGGCGGCAGTCGACTTTGCACAGGAAACTGGGAGGTTGCCGCCACCAGGCGTCGTTCCCGTTCCCGACATAAAGATAACAGACGACATGGTGACGTCACCTGGTGTGGATCTCCCGGCTCCCCGGCCGGCGGCTGCCCAGCGAACCAGGTCCTTCTCGAATCCCGATCTGACGCACACGCAGGGCGACGCCGCGAAGTCACCGACTCAGGCTGTCGCAGACGTGGCGTCATCTGTTGGCTCGTTCATCAACCGCAACGTGTGGCAGAACATGGCCTCTGCCGGGAGAAGCGCGCGGCAGCCGGGCGGTGTGACGGACGTGGCGCAGCAGCACGAGCTGCTGGAGAGAATACGCAGGAGCACGACGCGTGTAGTCCAGCTCTGAACCGCAGCCGTCTGCGTTGCTGACGGCAGACAATTGTCGGGTTGGGGTAGGTGGTCACTTGGGTCAGTGGGAGGTATTCGCATCATGGCAGGTCTTGTAGCGGTATCAGGATTGACTCCTAGTACGGTTCATAGACAAAATCCAAATTTGGACAAAAAACGTCTTTGCCAATGAATCGTCTAGTGTCTGTACTAGAGGAGTTTGCATTAGTCATGCATGGCCTTTCTACATAACCCGGTTTAAATAGAGGACACCTCGTACCACACCTTGCTTACACACCTTGCACATTGCAGTGCTCTTGTATATTAACTGAGTACGGATGAAAGAATAGTTTGATTAGCACTCTGCATAGGAAATTTGTACCATAGTGTTATCATGGTTTGTCCCGCTTTATGACTGAGTAGCTCAAGCTGTTTAGTGCTCGTAAGCAAGTGGGATTGAACTATGGTGCACGTAATTTTGCGTTTTTTAACGTATTTTTATCAAACTTGTGTTGCTGTTTTATAATAAGTCTGTGATTTGCTTATAATCGAAAATAACATTTGATATTTTAGGAATTTTAAATAGCTGGCACGTGTGATTCTTAAATGTTACTGCAATTCTGCTTTGCTGTGCACCTTGCAGTTCTGTGATAAAGGTTGCGTTTACTGCTGTAAATAGAGCTTCTAAGGTTATACACTGATACAAGCTATTGTACTGATGCGTTCGTGGAATAGAGTTTTATTTGCAGAGGTTTTTACTAGATAGATGCACACGGTTTCAGCATTCACGCATCTCACCAGACACTCACATGCTCGATCCATTTGCTCATTCGTGTTGTTGCATAATACGTTACATTCTCGGGGTGAGTGCGCTTCAACAGCTAAACGTGTGTACCGCGCGATGGTGCGTCTTAATCATCATCTCAAACAGGATACTTGAATGTGAATTCTGCGTTCCCCCAGTTTCATTTTACAGCTGAAACATGTTATGCTTCACCTGTAATTCTCATTTAGAGGTGAAGTGAACACGCGGCTGTGATTCAACCTGCTATGTTCAGAGTAGATGGTGTCGTGAAGGCAGCCTTGTACCGTATTGGATCCCGTTAAATAAGTTATTGTTGGACTAACTTGAAGTGTTGCTAAAAATTGTAATTGATATGCGGCCATATTGATGTGACTGTTCGACAGACAATCCATATAATTTGTATTAAGAAATAAGCTAGAGCTGTCCTAGTGCCGTTTTATGAACGTTTACATTGATCATATTAAGAGCATGTTAAGACTAATTAGTTCTAATTAAGAATTAATTAATATATTCTTGATTGGATCTATGTGGTGAACGGGAACTTTCGAAATCGTGATAGTATTACTCGTTTACGGTGTAATGGTCCTACTTAATTTCAGCTGATGCCAGTGTGCTTGTGTTCTATAATTGTGTTGTTTATATCAGGAGTGAATAAAAAAACATTTGTTTTCATTCACTCCTGTTTATATATATACGTACTGAATTCCGAGTGAAAATTCATAGAATTAGTGGGTATAAGTACACGTGCGACCGAATGTCTACTAGTGAAACTAATTTATATAGTTCACCCTTCGTCCCATGCAAGCAACTGGACGTTGAATAGTTTATATGACGTGGTAGAACGAAGAGGTAGCTTACAGATGTGCGTGCGGTGCGAGGAAAGCATCGTGAGTAGACTGTGTCGTAATTGCAACACCCCGCAATGCGTGAATGTCACCGGTACTATTTTGTGCATTATATTCACCTTTATTTAATCGTTAGGCGGTAGTATTAGTTTATTGTTTTTTGCGTCGTTTGACTCGATAGTCTTGTTTGTTCGCCGGATAGACGTTATTTTGTTAATGTAAAATACTCATTCGTCGCTGTAATAAGTATGTATAATTTGACATTTATTAACTGTTTGTATATATTGTAAACTTCGTATCAGACGACAGGGCTTTTTATCATGAATATATCATAAATATATGTATACTCTATACGAATATATACTTGTAACCAGAATTAAGTGAATAAAAGCAGTAGTTTTTTTATTCACTCGTGGTGTAACATGTAAACATATATGTAATAGTGTACATATATAAGCGTACAGTATAGATATGTTCATGATAATATCAGGATGTATAATATATTATACACTCCTGATAATATGATAGTATGTAAACCATTCTCGTTACAGATGGTTTCCTAGCTGTCTCACCTTGTCTAATTCGCATGGTAACAGCGCATCCTCGCTTACATAAGCAAAGTAGGAGGGGGCGCTGCACTCTCATTTACTCTAGGGTCCCTGTATACAGAGAGTTGCGCCATGACGAGTCGGAAAAAATCGCTCACGTGATCGCTGGACTGCATGTTTTTTGTTTCCAAATGGATCCACACCGCTGCCGCTTAAGTACAGCGCTGTATGGATACGCTCTACAATGGTCCGTAGTAATTAATTAGACTAATCGTGCTTCAATAAACTCAAAATTTATAGAGATTATAGCTAAGACATGTGTCTATGTGTATCTAGATTACTAGAACTGCAAAACACATGTTACAGCTGCGAGCGAGTGGAAAGTGGAACGCATTTATCTTGTGAATTACAGTTGTCATTATTCTTCCAAAATGACTGGCTGTTGTGTTTACACTAAGAAAGTGTACAATTAAGCTATCATATGGCGCGAACGATTTGAGTTACATTTCTAGAAATCTAGATACATATAAACACATGTGTTATCTATGATCTCTGTGATTCTTGAGTTTATTGAAGCGCGAGTGGTTTCATTAATTAGCAAGTATCTACGCGCGGTATCGCACAGGTTAATATACGCACGGCTATGGGCGGTAAGAAAGTGTACAATTAAACTATCATATGGCGCGAACGATTTGAGTTACATTTCTAGAAATCTAGACACACATAGACACATGTCTTGGCTATAATCTCTATAAATTTTGAGTTTATTGAAGCACGATTAGTCTAATTAATTACTACGGACCATTGTACAGCGTATCCATACAGCGCTGTACTTAAGCGGCAGCGGTGTGGATCCATTTGGAAACAACATGGCGTTAAATCCTGAGTTGGCGCAACTCTCTGTATATAGGGACCCTAATTCACTCTAGGGTCCCTGTATACCGAGAGTTGCGCCAACTCAGGATTTGACGCCATTTTGTTTCCAAATGGATCCTCACCGCTGCCGCTTAAGTACAGCGATGTATGGATACGCTGTACAATGGTCCGTAGTAATTAATTCGACTAATCGTGCTTCAATAAACTCAAAATTGACAGAGATTATAGCTAAGACATGTGTCTATGTGTATCTAGATTTCTAGAAATGTAACTCAAATCGTTCGCGCCATATGATAATTTAATTGTACACTTTCTTACGGCCATAGCCGTGCGTATCCATTTGGAAACAACATGTCGTCCAGCGACCACGTGACCGATTTTTTCCGACTCGTCATGGCGCAACTCTCTGTAAATAGGGACCCTAATTCACTCTTCATTGCCGCGTCGGAGATTGGTTGTTGCCTTGCCGATTCGGTGATCTATCTATAAATAGATCTGATTGAGCTTGCCGGCCACTCGCGTTCTGAATTTCGCGATGGCTCTAAATTTAGTAAATTACCTGATGTTTTACTGCGGCTTGGTTAGGTGTATGGCGGCAGGGGATGAGGGTGTTGGGGCATTGTGTCCTCGTACTAGATATACATTACAAATATCACACAGAATATAAGTTCGTATACCGGCTGTACTTACGCACATTTTTAGAGCGTTTTTGATATAGTGTATAGAATCGAAGTATGTATTATTGCTCAATTCACGCGGCAGCAGAGTCAATTATTGTATATTCAAATTGTTTATTTACGTTCGTCTCTCTTGGTCATATAGATTCCGAGTCTTGCGAATAAAAGAAAACGCGTGATATCATGAGGATATAAATTATACTTTACTCATTTACTATCATTACTGCGTGATTTCATTGCAAACACTCGATGCTACGCTTGCGGATATGCGTGTGTACCATGTGGATATAAACTAGCAAACAGTGTAAAACCTACGCGCATATCGTCCGAGTGGCAGCTTTTCCACACTTATTGCACAGTTTCGCTACACTAAGAAATTGTTCGTCCCATGACGAAGCGAGCGCTGCTGCCTAGCATGGCAGCTGATGTCAATGTGCTGTATGCGATGTGACGATACATTGTGCGACGTTAGTGTGTACTATAGTAACGTCCCATTTTAGATCCCCACACCCTTCGTTCGGTCGCAAGCAAACGGATAAACATTTTCTAATACTCTAATGATAATTTCATTAGGTTTAGTGTGCGTCGCTGTTCCACATTCCGGCGTGCTCTATGTGTAGGAAAGCGAGCCACTGGTAAGGTTGATTGTTAATTAATGCCCTGGGACCTGGGCGCGTACTAGCCTGTTATACCGAAATATAGGCAGCTAGTACTCGGCTATAACATTGCGGTGAAACGCACGCCCACACGCGCACTCATGCAAGAATGTACGCACAAAAAGCGCACGAGCGCACGCATGAAAACGCACATAATCCACTGAGTTATAAACTAAAACTAGCTAAAAATAATATTAACCGTTCTTAGTATCGGATTTAGTTGACCAATACAATGACAGTCGCATTAATTATGAACATGGCCAACAACAATTGATATGTTGATTTTCAGTAAATTAGGATGAACGAATAAAAAGGTAAAAGAATGAGTTATAAATTCTATAGATTGACGAGGCCTTTAAATTTCAACAGTTCAAGTGCTATATATGACAAACTGAGACATCAATCATAATTATGAGCATCGGATAGGAATAAAACGTTAGTGTTGGTAACACACAGTAAATACACTTACATGTTCGCAATAGTATATTATTTCGTCTTTACGAGTATGTATGTATCTACAAGACTACAACTATAACGCGCCATACCCCGTAAGTAAAATTAAAAACGTTACCTCATTGCCACAAATAACGGAGTGTGCTATAGCCTAGATTCCCTAGAAGCAACGTACCTGAAAGCGAATTATAATTGTATGTATCCGGCGAAGTACCTATAAGCACACTTACCTGGTGACCGCCTTCTAGATTACACTCATGCTGCGGCGCACGAAAATGCATACGTTGACGACACAATTCCAGGAAAGAATGTCACGCTATATCGGTAACCAGTGACGAGTGTCGTTGCATAGTCGTGTGTGTGTCGTGCATTGACTTGTCTGGGGCCCTGGGCACGTTTATGTCCGGACGACTATAGTGCTCGCTGAATGGCATAGATTGTCTCACATCGTATATATAGCTACGAAAATTATCGCATTCGTTGCCCCCGGTAGCAACAATCTCGATTATACTGTGTTTTTCTAAAATACACGTTCTTTTGGAAAATCAGTGCGACCCAGTTTGTGTAATTATAGGCATTCGGCTGAAACTCGGTTGTAAACGATTATATAGCTAGGTGTGCGTAATGTGACAGCATGCCGTCACCTACGCGATGTGTGTCGCTGCGCATGACTAATTGCATATAAGCGGAACCTTTCTACAACTTCGACATCAGTCAGACTTGGTCCAACCAGAATTTGGTTGTTTCGTTTTGAGGGCCGCGCGCTGAGGGTAAGTATACACGTCTATTGTTGTGTTGGTGAACGTACAGGCGAGTCATCCGCGCTGCGTAGTGAAAATCATGCTTGAACGACCAGTCGACGGCATTGTTGCGCCTGTTTGCAACACATTTCTATGATTAGCGTAAGTGGTATCATATTCCGATCACTGTAGGCAGACAGCTTCTTGTCATGGTTGTGTCAGGGTCGTTTATTTTTTTTGCAGATAGCCATGAAGATTACTTCTATTGTCGTCTTGTTAGGATGCGTAAGTAGAAACAAAGTTTATTCACGCTATGTATCATATACCTATCTTAATAATAAGATATTATTTTTTCGTAACTCACCCAAACCATGCTAGTAGGGATTAACTCAAGATAATTTCATTTCCAACGCTATTATTATAATGCTGCGAATTACAAATGAGACCATACGAGAGACGTGTTTTCACGAGCATTATAATGATACGAATAACCATATTAGACCGTATGAAACTGTTCATACCATAACCTATCAACCCGTTTATCAGGTTACCCACGTTCTCTCTTCTGGATATGGCCAACAGCGAGGCCGACCAGCAGTTCTTGGAGAGGTTTATGATATTGGTAAGTGCGTTCATGTATGGCCACGTTTTGCACAGCTACCCGAAACTATCCTGAACCTCCTATCCGAAACTATAGGCCTATGGAAACCAAGTAACCAAACATATAGCCAAAGCCATCCCAAGCCATATAATCTCCTGCATATGTTCGTTCATCCTTATTACAAATCCGATCGGACGTAATTTACTCGAACATCCTTTACATAGCCATCAAGCATTGTCAGAAAACCAATCTCATTGTAGCGCGTCATAGGGAGTCTATAACATTTGGTGTTGCTTACAGCTTATTCGCGCTCGTGGGTTGGCGATTCATCCAACCAAGAAGGCACCGGAAAAGGCACATCGCTCTGGACACAGGAAGACAACGTCGTGTCCGACACCGAGAGAGCGATCAGCAAAACTAACAACCAAGCGGCCGTCACAAAGTCTGAAACCGAAACGGTAAAAACCCATCGGCGCCTTTAGCGTCATGTATAACATAGTTTTTTTTTTATCCTATAGCGCGAATCGCAGTTATTTTTATGCATAGATGTGTAGTAATATAAAGAGGGGGAACGGGGGTTCATTCCCATTTAATTAAAATCGCAATTTCGGCTTTGCCGCGTCCCGGTTGACATCTCTTCCCGTATCACGAAAAAATTATCTGGTATTTCCCGCTTCCACGGAATTTTAATGCAAATGATCTAATCCCGCGTTCCGAAAATAGAAGCCCCTTTAGGGGTAATCGCAGTTTAATGAGTTGGCGACATATGCTAGCCACGCGTTGTTTGACCGCACCTGGGTTGTACGCGCATATCATTCCTTTGTTTTGACAGGGACGATTGTACGGTAACCAATACAATGTTCAACGACCTGCGAGAATATACGCCAACAATCGCAATAGATACGGAGGAGGTGGTTACGGTGGAATTGGAGGTGGATACGGCGGTATCGGCGGTGGTTATGGGGGTACAGGAGGTGGTTATGGAGGAATAGGGGGTGGTTACGGAGGAGTAGGAGGTGGTTACGGTGGTATCGGTGGCGGCTACGGAGGAATAGGAGGTGGTTACGGAGGAATTGGAGGTGGATACGGCGGTATTGGAGGCGGCTACGGAGGAATAGGAGGTGGCTACGGTGGTATCAGCGGTGGTTATAGAGGAGTAGGAGGTGGCTACGGTGGTATCGGTGGTGGTTATGGAGGAGTAGGAGGTGGCTACGGTGGAGCCAGTTACGGGGGAATCAGGGGCGGCGGATACGGAGGAGGGGGATATGGCGGAGGAGGTTATGGTGGAAGAGGGGGTAGCATCGGTGGTTACGGTGGAGGAAGTTATGGTGGTGTAAGCAGCGGGTACGGTGGCGGAGGGTATACTGGTTAAGCGCATAACAGTTATATTAGACATCAATGGAAAATATTATGTTCTGAGAACTTCGTTTTCAATTGTACAAAATATGGCTGGCTTTGTATTTGATAACGCGTATGCAGCGCCAACGTCGTCACATTCATCTATCTGTACGTGTATGCATAGTACCGTTAAATGCGCTACACTGTAAAAATTATTGAGAGCACGGTCGCAAAATGATTAATATTAATATTTTATATAATTATCACAGCTTCTTTAATCTGAACTTCAATTATACAGTATAGATATATCATGTGATGAACATTCGTAATCGCATACTCACGAACGAACCCATATGACTGTGATATGAACATATAGGCCTTAATTGTACAATACTTTTTTTGTAAGTTTGTGTTATACACAACGTTGATTTCTATGATATATACAAGATTATATATTAGAAATGTTTATACATCCATATATTTTCTTAAAACGATCTGTAGTATACTGAGATGGTTGATATAGTGTGGCAGCACTAATCAATTTCCAACTAATAAAACTGAAGCATTATAAAAAAAATATCTTACGACATTTATTATGCCTTGTCACTGTGTTCTGTAACTATAAATTATATATATGCTGTGTATATGACCGTTATTCTGGAATCGTTTACGTTTTTAATCTTTACTTGATCAGGGGTGTTGCTTGAGTACATTTGCAGATGGAGGATTGGGTTAAAATTCAGTCACCATGCAAACTTGATGACGAGAGAATACTTTTTTTACGATTCCATGAAATATACGGCAGTGTGAGCGAGATGTGTGAAAGCGGTATATACAGGGGCGCAAATCCAGGGGGGACAGGGGGACATGTCTCCCCCACGAATTTTCAGAGGGGGGACATCATATCATATGTCCCCCTCGCAATTTTGGATCACCATGATTTTGTGTGTAAGTGTGTGTGTGTGTGTGTGTGTGTGTGTGTGTGTGTGTGTGTGTGTGTGTTTGTGAAGTGAGAACCTTTTTATTGTGTGTGATAGTGCGTCAACGATTGGCGTCTTTTCCTTTTATTGCCAGCTTTTATTTCATTCAAGTGCATTTGAGAGCATAATAATGATCATGCACAACTTAAGAAAAATGTGTCTTGATAAATTAGTACCGTTTTTTTTTAACAGTTTGTTTCTTATATTAAATAAATTCTTATGCAGAAATCATCAAGAGAAAGTATGTTTATGAAAGTTTAAGAGATATCACTCACATTAGACACTGATTCAAGGATTAAGCTGGGAACACGAGCTATATTCACGCAAGAGGAACATGAGTAACTGAGCATCGGTTTTAATAATGTAATTTTCATTGCAAATTGATGATATATATACACGCATATATGATATGACTGGACCAACAATAACAACGGACCAATTTATTTTGTGATCAGCCTCAAACACCATATGATTGGTTTTCTGCTTTTTGTTTTCTTGATTTTATGACTGCATGTGGACCACCTTTTCGTATCTTATCACAAACCAAATGCATTGTGTGGTGTGTGTGTGTGTGTTGTGTGTGTGTGTGTGTGTGTGTGTGTGTGTGTGTGTTGTGTGTGTGTGTGTGTGGTGTGTGTGTGTGTGTGCAGGGGCGTGACAGCGAAGGGGGTCCAGGAATCCGGACCCCCCCCGCTCGCGCAGTAAACGCATCTGAGGTGGTCGTAATTTCAAAAAATTTCTTGGGGGGCCCCCCAAACCCCCTTCGCGTGCTCGCTACTTGTGTCCCCCACATTTCAAATGGATTTGCGCGCCTTGGGTATATATATATATATATATATATATATATATATAGAATATATATATTATATATGTAGACTATAGGAGTTTCTATGTATTGCTATGTATATATAGCTTCTTTAGCGTTTTTTTAATCAGAATATAATAGTAATAATTAATAAATACACATCGATACACATGCATATAGCCTTCTATATAGTCTTCTCAAGTCACTCCTACACCGCATACACAGGTATGCCACTTAATTGTCTATACAGTATATTATTATATTATAATTCTTAAATTTATAAAAACGCCCCATGAGTTTTTTCCATAATTAAAAACGTTCAGACACACAAACAGTCCAAAATTTCTATAGCGTAAAACTTTGATCTAAAATGGCGCCTATGGCATCCGAAGTACATGTCCAATCACCTTCATCTTCTTGTATACCTAGCTCATTGGGTCTATGCCTTGGGTCCATGCTTTTATGCTTACCCGATTGATGCGCGTTTCGTGACTTTCGTCTTAATTTGAGAGTTTGAATCTGCAAACATGGGGAAGCTAAACGTTGCTTTGTTACGTTATCTGTCGACTGAAGATTTTCGCGTGCTAACGGCCGTAAGTCCAGATTATTGGCAGTTAGTGTACTGTAATCACGTGCATTGATTAAAGTAAAGTAAAATAAGCTTTATTTAACGTCGGTAGTGTTGTAACTTGTGCTGTGAGCTAGGGTCTATGTCCCCCGGGGTACTGCCGGAACGTACCCTGGGTACGGTCCGGTATACTGGAACGTACCCTGGTACTATCTAATGTGCCGGACCGTACCTCGCCTACTCCACTAACGAGTCTGGGGAGTCGCCTACGCCTACTCCCTAACCCTAACCCTAACCCTAACTCAAACCCTAACTCAAACCCTAACTCTAACGCTAACCCTAACCTAGCTCTAGTACTATAGCCCGCTTACATTGACTGCCGCTGGCAGTCAATGTCAGCGGTGGCAATGCCAGCGGCAGTCAATGTAAGCGGGCTATAGTACTAGAGCTAACCCTAACCCTAACCCTAACCATATCAAATAGTGACCAGGGTACGTTCCGGCAGTACCCTGGGGGACATAGACCCTATGAGCGTAACTTGTACAGAGAACATTCAGATTCTGAACATAAGCCATATGGCTTTTCCGCCGACCATCAAATATAAAATTAGAAAACAGATAAGATGTAAAACGTTCAGCAGATAAACATTTAGCACGAAATATACATAGAATTCAATAAAATCGATTACACATTGCACATTTGCACTTATCCCCCTCCCACGAACCTAGCTGGCTAGCATTTTTCTGAAATCATTAAAATTTCCACATGACCTCAAGTAGACCAATAAATTGTGCCCTAAAAAATTATATTCTGATGGTATTTTAGGGCCCAATAGCCTTCCATAGAGGGGGGTAAAGGGTAGTACTGTTCACAGTTCACAGTGAAAATAAACTGCTTTTCACATTTCACAGTGAAAATAATGCTCTTTTCACAGATCACGGGGATAATCCAGTTTACAGCAAAAATTTCAGACTCATAAGATAAGGTCATAGAAGTATACTTGTGTTCTAAATATCAACAACACTTCTAAATATCAAAAATATGCTTGCGCAGTAGTCATGCTTATACATGTGTGTGTACGTGCGTGCGTGCGTATATATAGTTTCCATATGTTCTTCTGCGGTTGGGGGGTCCGGGGGCATACCCCCCTGGAATGTTTTAAAAATTAGGCTATATTTGGTGCATTCTGGTGAATTTTGAGGCCTGTGACCGGTTTCTGGAAACCGGTGCAAACCGGCCTAAATCCGCGCCTGACATGCATAGATTCACGAGGAAAGAGACCTCTTATTCACAGTTCACAGACACGACAAATAAAAGCTAAATCACGCTTCACGCAAGGTGGTCCATTCACAGTTCACAGACAAAATAAATTGCAATTCACAGTTCACGAGGTATAAAAACGGCCGATCACGTTTCACGGAAATACCCTTACCCACCCTCTTCCATAGACAAAACCTGTGAATTCTGTCGTGCATTTTGCACGACAGAATTCACGGGTTTTGTCTATAGAAGGCTATTGGGCCCTAAAATAACATCAGAATCTAAAAAATTTTAGGGCACAATTTATTGGTCTAGATCTCAAGTTTTCTGGTAGACTGTTCCAGAGTCTGGCAGCCTCAGCTCTAGCTCTAGTACTATAGCCCGCTTACATTAACTGCCGCTGGCCGCGGCTGTTGGCGGCCAGCGGCAGAGGCCGCGCTGCAGAGGCCGCGCTGCCAGCGGCAGTTAAGCTGATAGGGTCTATGTCCCCCAGGGTACTGCCGGAATGTACCCTGGGTACCGTCCGGTATACCGGAACGTACCCTGGTACTAAATACTACTATCTAATATGCCGGACCGTACCTCGCCTACTCCACTAACGAGTCTAGGTAGTCGCCTATGCCTACTCCCTAACCCTAACCCTAACTCTAACCCTAACCCTAACCCTAACACTAACCCTAACCCTAACCCTAACCATATCAGCTAGATAGTTACCAGGGTACGTTCCGCAGGCTTTCCAGCGGCCCTAAAATTCCTAAAAATTCCTAAAAATTTTGAAACAATTCCTAAAAAAAAAAAATCACAGATATGTTTGGAGGTTTTGGTGATGAGATGATGAACTTTTGGTTTGTAATTGTCTAATGCAGGGTTTCCAACCATTCCTCATTCTGCGGAATCATTACAATTTCTAGGCTTAATTTCCGCATTCTGCAGCGGCAAGGTTATATTCCTCATTTCAGTTGCACTGTACAAAATTTGCACTGATTGTTCGCATTGTTCGCTTGGACACATTGTTTTTTTCAGGTATTTTGTATCTGACATGTCTACGGTAAATGGAACAGCCTGGTCAGACAGGCGCTGTCTGCAAGGTGTCGCGTAGTTTGTCTGCTAATCAGACAACCTTGGGTTGTAGGGTTGAGTCTAGGGTTGAGATAGTGTTATCAGACATGAGAATATGGCCCACAGTATGCCTCAGATTGCAGGAAAATGGCTTAAATATTTCAAAATCTTCTGGGGGGGGGGGCACGCCCCCAAACCCCCCTAGCACTGGCATGCCTACGGCGGCCAACTGGCATGCACACGCAGGCCTGCCTGCGGCAGCCAAGGTACATTTCGCCCCCCCCATCAATTTCTGAATACGTAACTAGTTACTGATTACCGCAGGAACATTTGGAGATTCACAGGGTTGGAGACCTTGCTAATGTATGTTATCTAGTCATCTTTATACAGAGTAAGTATTGTGACTCTCAGTCTACCAGTGATTCCTAAGCTTCAGTGTCTGATTATACGACCCTGTTCCTGGCTGGATGTACAAGACATGCCTAATTTGCATGAAACTTGATGATGTACAGTCGTATTGAGGGCTTGGAGGATAGGAATAGCTGGTAGACTGGACATATACCACATAGAACTGTCTCTGTAAGTTAACACATTGATGTTTATGAAAGGTAAGTGACTTATTTTATCCCTAAAATATTTCGATTTATTCCTAAAAATTCCTAAAATAGCCCTAAAAAAACCTTAATTTCTCCCTAAAATTAGCCCTAAAATGTTGTCAAGGACTGCTGAAAAGCCTGGTTCCGGTATATTGGACCGTACCCAGGGTACGTTCCGGCAGTACCCTGGGGGACATAGACCCTATCAGCGGCAGTTAATGTAAGCGGGCTATAGTACTAGAGCTACCTCAGCTCTAAAACTGTGTCGCCCATAGCGGACCCCGTTGTGCGTGGGCACTTCCAATTTATTTATGTATCTGAGGGTATATTTTTCAGTTGTGTTGTTTTTTGTTACCAAGTCATTTATACCCCCGTCAGACTGGACGGCGACCATCCGCGACCGTACGGCGACCAGAAAATGTGCAAGGTCGCCGGCAAACGGGAACACAACGCGAGAAAAAGTCCCAACAAATTACAAACTTGAAAAAAAAACGCGCTCTTACTGCGACCTGTGCGATTATACCGCGTTCTCACGGCGCGCCCGCCACGACCTCTCCGCGCTTATGGCATTTCTATTGAGATCTATGGGCTTGGCAACGGCGATCACCGGCATTCCTGCGGCGCTTTCACCACGCTCATGGGGTTCTTACCACGCGTCTTCTACGTGTATCGCGACTGCACAGCGACCTCACGGCGTATCTAGCATGTTCTCACGGCGACTATATAAGCTGGTCAGATTTTCGGAAATTTCAACTGTATAGTTGTGCGTTTGCTAAGTAGAAACACGATGCCGAAGAAACAAGCTACCAGAGGCCGAGGCCGTGGCCATTTTCGCAGCGTCTTTGCCACGCGTGTACTGCGCGTGTACTACGTTCATGGAGATGTTACGACGCTTGTCTCACGACCTTTGCGACCCTACCGCGTTCCAGGTCAGATCGCTGAGCCTTGGCGTTTGTTTTGAACATGCTAAAAACAAACGCCGTGACTCGGCGATCATTGGCGACCATGGCGACCACAGCACGATGTCTGGCGTTTCCACCACGCTTATACCATGCTTATGGCGACCTTGACACGCTCTGGGCCCATTTTCTGTCGCCGTAGCAGCGCAGTAAGGACGCCACCCCGGTCTGACGGGGGTGTTAGATAGAGTGGCCTGTCCCCATGTAGAATTTTAAAGACTTCGATAGCAAAAATTTATTGCCGCATCCGGCGTAAGAGAAGGGATATATGTTTTTGTCTCTGGATAAGAGTTCCTCATATGAGCTGTCAAAATCTCTATATATATACATACTTGAGGGCCTGGTAATTTATCTTCTCAAGTTTAATTACATTTTTCCTTCGACAGAAGTGCCCAACCAATGGGCAAAAATTAAAGTTTGACCTTATAAATGAGTAGTAGATAACCTTGCGGCAGTCAAAATTGAGGTACCGCCCAATACGTTTAATACGTACAAGTACGTATAAGTTTACGTTTAAGTACATTTAGCTGTCTTGCAGCCTTGGTGAAGATGGTAGTAACATGGTGGTTGAAGTTGATACCCAGCAACTTGGCAGTATCAGTACATTCAATATCAATTCCCCTGATGCTGAGGGCAGTCCTCTCGCTATCTGCCCGCTGGCCAAAAACGATACTTTGAAATTTGGATGGGTTGGCCTGCATACCATTGGAGGTAAACCAGTCAGTGAGAGCCCCACCATCAGCCTCAAGGGTAGTTTTCCATACATCACGGTCGTGGTGAGCATAACTTATGGTATTATATTGTCATCCGCATAGTTGGTGAGACTAGATGATCTAATGAAAGTAAAAATATAATAAGTAATAAGTAGGGTTACAACGCGAGCCGGTTCAAGGATAGATATGATGTCCAGGACGGTGATATGATAGGATGATGTTTATTACTGGACATGCTCTCTATCCTTGAGCCCGCAAGCCTATTCTTTTCTTTGGAGGAGCCCCTGAGTGATTCACTCGGCGTTTTTTTTTCGAGACTACAACTTCCAAACTGGGTTTATTCTAAACACGAACCTTTCTCCGCTATCCTGGGACATACTAATACTATGTATCACAATACTCTGTATTAAACTATTATAACCTGTTACAAAATTTCGA